TGTGTGTGTTAGCTGAAGATGTGTTAGGTGAGGGTGTGATGGAACCTCACTACCATCAACTTACGGGAAAAAATTTACATTACAACAGTTGTTTATATTAGTGTGTGTGTGTGTTGGCGGGGTATTGTGAAGCCTCAGTACAGGGTAAATAGTTCCTCACCGCTGGGGCCTTTTAATTATTGATACCGATCAGATAAGAGACGATAAGCCCCTCCTAATGACATCATACGGTGCAGCCTTGCGAGCTTTGCCTGCGGATTATGTGATTCATATTGTATCGGTATTTTTTTTTTATTATTTTCTTTACGTTTTATTATATTTTCAGATTGGCGTTATATATATAGCGACTTAAATATATTTTACATAAGAAAATAAGGCGTCTGCAATAGGCCGGTTGGCCTGTGCATGGCAGCTCCTGTCGAGTTACTACCACTCTCTATCATCCATGAATCTATCCAGTCTCCTTTTGAAACTTTCCAGCGTTCCAGCACTTACTAAAAAGTTGCTAAGCTTGTTCTACTCGTCCACCACCCTATTTGTGAACCAGTTCCTTCCTATCTCCCCCCTAAACCTAAACTTATCCAACTTAAAGCCGTTGCTACGAGTCCTATCCTGCTCGGATATTATAAGAACTTTATCTATATCTCCTTTAATGATTCCTTTCACCCACTTAAATACTTCTATCATATCTCCCCGCACTCTTCGTCTTTCTAGGGAATGCAAGTTTAGTTTCTTTAACCTATCCTGATATGGAAGGTTTCTAAGTCCCGGAATCATTTTCGTCATTCTTCGCTGCACCGACTCTAGTGAATTGATATCCATTCTATAATAAGGGCACCAGAGCTGAACCGCATAATCGAGGTGCGGCCTGACTAGCGCAAGATATAGTTGCAATAGTTTGATAGGTGTGTGGGGTGTGACGTAGACATACCTTGCCAGACATAATGGTGACGGGTGTGTGTGGCAAATTTCGAAATGGTTTATGTGACGGTGTGAGGCGACGAGGTAAACACTGAACCGAGGTCACTGTGTGTGTGTGTGTGTAAACAGTAAACAATCAGTTGGATTAATGATTTGGCAAAAGCTTGAGCGCGGTAGCGGGTCGGGGTAAGGGTGGGTTGAGTGAGGTGGTGGTGGTGGGCGTGTGGGAGTGCGTGGCGTGGGCGAGGCAGCAAACTTTATGGGACTGGCGGCGATTTTTGAAAAGGGCCAAAAGCTCCTAACAATAAACTAAATTCTTGGCGAGCCCAAAGTACAGTGATTCGGCCCAGGCTGCCAACACGACACAGCCTGGCTAGTTATTTTCACGGTCCGCCAGTTGTCTTACTCCACAAACCTTTATTTTTAACACCCTGCTGGACCCTGATGGTGTTAGTAGTTGTGGCGGTGTAGTTATCGTGACACTGCCCTTCCATTTATTTGTATACTTCATGTAACATTTATTTGAGGTTTAATTGGCGTATTAGTGTTTATTTACGTATATTTGTATTTCTTAATGTATTTATTTGTGTTCTTGGTTTTTACGTACTTTGTTTGTCAGGCCAATATTTGTGTTATAAATACTGAATAATCTATTTTTGTACATCTAATTTAATTGTATTTTACAACTATTATTATTTTCTATGTTCATAATAAAACAGTAAAGGAGAAAATTAACATCTTGTTACATAAATCTAGATAATAATTTATCAACCTACTTTAAGCTCTTCTGTGTTACTTTAAACCCCAGTGTACAAATTATACCCACATAAATAAATAAATGTCTTATTGAAGGAGTTGTACCGTGAGGGAGGAGACAGACGTTCTTACGGTCATGTTCGTTGTCTTGGTCGTGGTATTCTGGTCAACATCGCCACACTGTCCTGGCTGCACGGAAATACTACGCTCCAATAATTTCACAATACCGTGTTGAATATGACGTCATTGCCTGTCACAATGGTCGCCAAGTCGCCAAGTTGCTTCAAACGTCCACAACCGTCGTCTTAAGTTTATGTTGTGAAGGTCAATAAAATAATGATAGTGACGTTATCTTTTGCCTTGGCTTAAAAACATACCGTGATGTAGGTGAAGTCAGTTCGAAAATTTATACCTTACTTATGCTGTACAACTGTCATATTATGTCTGCTACAACTGCGTCATTTTTTTTTATTGATTTGTAGGAATATTACCTACGCGGACCTTAAGCTAAAATGCTGGTCCACCCACTGCTGGGATAAAACACCTGTGTCTTTTTGGTTAAAAGTACATCACCACTAGTGTGAGGGGGGGGATGCTCGGTAAGAAACTGTAGGGTTTCTTGAGAGTGGTTGGTGGTTAGCTTTCTGGCAACCTTCTCTGCTGTGATAGGGGGTTGTATGTTTCTCCTAGTCCTAACGGAACGAAGAAACTGCATTAATTGAGACTGAATGCGAAAAGGACCTAGGTGTGTATGTGGACAATGAGCTGAAACTCTTGGGCTATTGTAAGAAGGTGAACCAAGCATCTAAATTATTAGGTCTTATAAGAAAGTCGTTCAGATATCTAGGCGGTCCGTCCAACGTAACGATCTTCAAGAGTGAAGTGCTTCCCCATCTGGAGTACTGTCACCCTGTCTGGTCCCCGAGATATGCTAGGGACTGTCAGTTGATTGAAACTGTCCAAAGGAGGGCCACCAGACTGGTGCCTGCACCACGGCATCTCAGCTATTCAGCGAGATTAGAACGCCTATAATTGCATAGCTTATACTACAGACGGGCAAGGGGGTACCTAATTGAGGTGTATAAGCATCTCAGGGGGCACTACTCAGTCGAATGTTCTTACCTTGAGCTGGCTCACCCCACAAGGGGTCACAGCTCAAGATTGAAGAAGCCTCCAGTTCAGAAAACTGTGAGGGGTAACTTTTTCGGAGTGTGAGTTGTGAACTCTTGGAACAATCTGCCGGAGAGTGTTGTGACGGCACCGAGTGTGAGCTCTTTCAAGACCAGACTTGACCAACACTGGAGCAGGTTCAGGTACATTCAGGAGCCGGTGCATGCCCAGTACTTGCCAACAGTGCGTGACAGAGACGTGACCGATCTCCCAAGCGGCTAACGAGCCGATCAGTGGTGAAGAGGATAAAAGTAAAAAGAAGGAAAAGTATATCAGGTTAAGCAACATAGCATCAAGTTTTCTAAGTTAAAGTTTGATATACGGTTACGGTAATAATTTTATATAAACACCATTAACGAGAAAACTGCCTGACAGACATAGGTACTTCCAAATTGTACCAGAATCTTGATAGTTCGACTTTCAACAGCTGAATGTTTGATAAGGTAATCCAAAAACTTACTGGCCTTTATGCACCTCCAGGAAGATCAGTTTATATATCTAATACAGCCTTAACCCCCACCCCCCGTTATGAATATTTACAGGTAATTCTTGATAAAATCACACAAGGAAAAGGGAAACAATGTGTGATTTTATCAAGATTTATCTTATCCACGTTTTCATTGTGGATCTACATTAATTACAGGTAATATATTTTGATATTCTTATACTTAAGGCTATGGATTCGACCGCCGTTCAAGGAAGCTTCACGGTCAGATACACTTACTCAAATAGACAAGTCAGCTTATTGAGAAAAAATCACAAGGCTTGGGATCAGGTCGAGCGAATTTGTACACCAGTCGAGTGAGTTCACAAGCCAGGCGACGGTCAAGCGTATATTAGCACCTTGTACACCAGCTTGTTAATACTAGTGTACCTCCCTGTTAGGCACAAGGTCACCCCCGTACACCATACCACCACGATTTTAAAACAATTTTTGAAAAAGCTAGTTTGTGTTGACCGTGTGTGCGTGTTGTGGCTTCTGGAGAGTGATGCTCGTGGTTGATGTGTCAGTGAAATTGTGCCCCGTATATTTCCACACACACACACACACACACACACACACCGTTACCTACCATCATCACCCAAGTTCCAATTATGTCTCCATCATTCACCAACATCCACCACTATCACCAACACTCATCATCATCCACCAACATCAACATCATCACCATTATTCATTGCTTGTTACGTCACCATCATCATTAATTACGTTATCACCATCAATCATCACTTGTTACGTCATCACACAATAACAAAAGATTAGCCTCGGGTTATCTTGATCTTGTTTCATCATATAATGCAATAAAAGTGTACCGTGTCTGGCGTGATGCAGTAGTGTTAGGGTAAGTGTGGTGTGTGGTGGTTGTGTAGGTGTGGTGCAGGTGAGTAGTGGTGGTAGTGGTGATGTAGGTGTGGCGTGGGTATTTGGTGGTGATGTAGGTGTTGTGCAGGTGTGTAGTGGTGGTAGTGGTGATGATGTAGGTGTGGTTGTCACTGGTGCTTGGTGTGGCCCAGCACAGGTGTGGCGGCCTCTCGCTCTTATTTACAGCTAATCTTCCGAAGTTTATGTTGCCCTTCTCAGAAATACAGGCCGTCGACCTCATGATGCGTGCGTGTGTGACTCAAGCTTTTTCACACACACACACACACACACACAGTTTAGTACAAGGCCATACCTTTATTAATTGAGATGCCTGAATACTGCACCTGTTTGCAATACGTGCATGAAAATATTGTTCTTTTCAATGTGTGTATTTTGTGCATGTAAATATGTATAGTATACACACACACACACACATTACACAATTCCAATGATGTAATAGCAATACAGTACATATACAATTACAATAGACTCTATATATGTTAATTTGTATTTTGAAATGTCTTGTTCATATACTCCTAGCAAGCATTTTTACACCCATGAGTGCTATAGTGAGATGACAATTGTGGAGACCCTGAAATCGTAACTAAAGACCATTGTTTATTGTATAGAAGATGCCTTTGTAAATTAATGGCCGACAGTCTCTCACAAGGCTACAGTACAGTACCTCGCCCACTAACTTAAAATCTTCTCTCTCTCTCTTTCCCCCACTGGTGTTCCTGCCTCGCATGATCCCTCACCCGCCCTGGCATGCTTCACCCACGCCTACCAGTGATGCATCCTCTTCATCACTGGCCACGTCCGATGAGGAGGAGGCTGGCGGGGACGACTACAATTCCTGGGATGACACGATCTGCTCCAACCGCTCTGCCTACTTCAAGATGTACTAGTAAGTGCATGAGTGATGCCTCCAGCCTCCTCCTGTCCAGCATGACTTAAAAGAATGATGCTCTACTGTATTGTACTTAGATGCTTTTTTTTTAACTTACCACAAACTTGTATGATACACACACACACACACACACACACACACACACACACACACACACACACACACACACACACACACACACACACACACGATTATGAAAATTGTTTGTTCTGTTTTCGTGTCTTAATTAAATACAACAGTCAGTGTACATTTTAATTGTGTTAGAAAAATAAGATTAATTACTGTATCTATCTATCAACTTCTGCACAGTGTTCTGATAATCATGTTAAATAGTACTACAGTGTGTGTTAATTACCAAGAAATTGAGACCTGCCTCTGAAAGACACGAGAGCCTGGAGGTGACGGCAGGTTAATAACAAACAAAACCCAAGTTGGCTGCCAATGGCACTAAAGCAAGCAGGCACAGTGTCACCTAGCGGAGTCAAAGGGCAGTTGGGTTTACGTTGGGGACCAGATCATACATGTATACGCCATCACTACAAGAAGAAACCTGTTAGTTGTACACGGACCTCCATTGTGTCCATTAGAATCCACTCGTACAAAAATATTAATGAAGATGAGCGTTTGAGAAAGAAAGTAAACTCATATAAAGGACAACTGTGTGTGAGAAACACCATGTGAACTGTACTAATATAACCAAGTGTCTGGTTATGCCATCATGGTAGAGGTGATCTTCCCTCTCCCTCCATCTATAGACTCTCAGCTCTCACCTCAGTCATCCTTAAAGTGAATCACCTTGAGATTAGCCCCAAGCTTATTTCACCTGATGATTACACACCTGTACACTACTGGAGAGGAGGAGGGGGAGGGGGTGTCAGGGTGTTTAATCAATAGGAAAAAATAAGCTTGTGTGCCTTATCTTCAGGAGATCCCTTAAGTTGTGGAATCTGTCTTAAACAAACAACTACTCAGATGCCTTAAAGAACACCAACACCAATCTGATACAATTTTCATTCCAGTCATTCCACCACACCCCTGTTTTCTCTCTTAACTCACAGCCTCGACTGTGCTCTAGTCAACTTTGGCAAGTCTCAGCATGTTGCCCTTGATATTTCCTAAGGTCTTGATAATGTCTGGCACTGAGTTTTTCTTTCCAGGCTAAAGTCTCTTGGTCTCTGATTCTTCCTTACCCCTTAAATGCCACATTTGAACCATAACAAGTCAAAAATCAAACCAGGACACAAGCATTAATGGCAGATTCACAACAGTAAAAAAAAAAAACCTGATCTTGTCCTAGCACACAAAGTCCATCTGCAATGAAGCACTTAAAAATTACTGTATGTTAAAATTATACCATAATCCATTAAAATTATCATTAACTCATATGTATGACATTAGGAATGCAGTGTGTTGGTGGTATGATACTACTGTACAGTAGTTTGTACAAGTTTCTAATGCTTAAGCAAAGGCTATGTCCTCCAGGAGTGAATACCTGGAGCCATTCAGGTTATATATATGTGATTTTAAGTGATGCTCATGGCTCATCCTTAACAAAATTAGTCACTGACTGAACCAACCCATCTGGATTAACTCACAGATGCACTGAAGGGTTTATGTATGATTTGTCAGTGAAAAATCACTCATCAGCACATACTGGGAACTGGGAATTTTTATATGAAGATCTGCTCAAATTAACTCCTAGTCACCAAACCAGAAACTGGATGGTGGTTTTCCTGAAACCACAAGGCAAGTCACACTAGGAGCACCTCAAATGTCATGCAACTAGTCCTGGCTACCAGTAATGCAAAGTCACGGTTAATACCCTGCAGGGGCTCTCACACTGAGTCTCACTGTCTGACTCAGACATGGACAGGCTCTGAAAAATACGTAAGACCTTACAAATGAAATGACAATGTCAGAAAACCAATCTAAATTTAATTATAACTTCTAGAACTGCAATAGTCTTTGTCAACTATTGGCCTTGGTGGTGTCATCTGGGCACTGAATCCAATATGGTGGAATGGCCTGCTAATCAAAATGGTAACCGGTAACTTTGGCATGAAGTGTGTACTAGCCCAGTAGACATGCTTTTTAACATTACAAAATGCAGGACCTCACAAGTAGGATACATCAACCTTAAGCACAACTATTCTGTTAATAACGTTTTCCTGGATAATGTCGATAAGGCGAAAGATCTTGACGTTGTGACAGATCATTCACTGAAAGCAGCATAACAGTAAGGAAAGCAAATCAAGATTTGGGAATTATAAAAAGTACCTTTGAAAACAAAGATAGTAAAATGTCCCTTCAAATGTACAAATCTTATGTCCCAGTCAAGATTACTGTATACTGTACAGGTATGGAAACCCCACCTCCAGAAAAAAAAATCTAACATCCCTAGAAAAGGTGCAACACAAAGAGACTAAGATGATTCCGGAACTATGTCAACTCGGTTATCCAGGTACAGTTGACTGTGAGCCTTATGATTAACAACCCTTCAGACAAGGCACAATAGGACAGATATCATTGACACATTAAAAATCCTGAAAGGGATGGAAAATGTGAACGTGGGACATTTCTTCTTTGTGATGTCACGCACCACCAACACGAGAGGGCATAACTACATGCTCGCCAAGTCATCATGCAGAACGAATTCTGTACAGTATAAGGAAATACGTTTTCACACAGAGGCTGGTAGACCTGTGGAACGGTCTACCAGCCCAAGCTGTGGAATCAATAACAATACTGTCTTGAGCTTCAAATAGTTGTTGATAAAATTACTACGAACAATGGAGGGATCCTACACAGACCACTGACCTCCTTACGTCAGCATGGTGACTAAGGTAAAAAGTACACTCTACAAAATTAGATCAGTACAACAATATGTGACCCACACAGAGTAATTAAGGATAATATACTGTTTCTTTGGCGTAATATGTCTCTCTTTATACTGTATCTGTACCTGAAATATGCTCCAGTATACTTGGCTGTGACAGACACTAGTCTAAGTACATACTGTACAATACAATTACACTGGTATATTGTGGATTGAAGTACTGTTTAGTATTTAGTTCTGTCTCTGGAAGCAGAAAATACTCATAGCATTTTTTACATATCTCAGTCAAAGAATACAGCATTAATTTTTACTCAATAATAAAATAGTAAAAACTTGGGCACTGTATATGGAGATAAGGTACACAGACATGTACCCCTAAACCATATTCTGTTCCTCACTAAGTGGGGTGGAACAAGTGTATTGAATATCATATTAAACACAAAAATAAAGTACAATTCACAAAAGAAAAAATACTCAAAAAGTTTATGCACTGATCAGGTTAATTGTTTCTTACAGCTCTCATAGAGGCATCATAGGAGGTAACCGTGGTGAAGATACTAAGTCTAAAGCGTCCCATGCTTCATCTCACAACTCCCTGTCATCACTCATACAGGAGAGGATGGGGGTAAGTGACACAGTGCAAACTCTATATGTACTATTTTCCTGTTGCTTCATGGTGAGGGAGGAGTGTAAGGTTCATGTTTTTCAGTACAGTATTTGTCTTCAGTAAGGAAGGAAGGTGGGCTGGTCTTCCATTCACAGAACAGTACAGTACAGTATAGCAATTATAAACTTAAAGGACCCAGTAAACAGTGCATTACAGTACAAGACCTTTCTTTGAATATTTAAATTCTTACCTCAACCATAAGTATAGTACTGTATAGGAATAAATATTAAAACTTCAATATAAAGTAATACAGTACTACATAAATTGTAAGAAAATATCTTCATGTCTGTCAGAAGCTGTATCATAATTACAAAATATTACTTCAATATGAGCATCTCTTACCATGAAATAAATGTATTATCTTATGTACATTCTATAGATTTAATATATATTTTTTTCCCACCCAATCTTAAAAACAATCTCTTGTAATTGTGAATCCCAACCTGACCAGAATTTCATAAAGAAAAAAAGAGAGAAAGGCAGGCACTTATTTCAACACAGTACAGTACAATGTACAGCTCCTCCCCGACTTACGACCACCCGGACATACGACCGCCTCAGTCGTACCAAAATTTTGTCAGATTACGTATTTCTAGTCACAACGTCAGTGATTGCGCTTTGTACTGACAAAATTGTTGTTTGTAATTCACTTTAAAATGGCTGGCAAGCTTAAAAGTGAGAGTTTTGTGGTGCCAAGAAGAAAAAAGAGACACCCATTTTAGATTTTCTATGTATTATTTAAGCATTTTCGACTTACGTCCTGGATTTGGGTCCCTAACCCCGTTGTAAGTAGGGGAGGAGCTGTATTGAGAGATTCTGGACAACCAATAATAGTGACAAAGAATCTTATGTTATATAAGCCACTACAGTGCAGCACTTCTCTCCTAACACCAGAAGCCGCAGGTAACACAATTGAAGAGGACCCGGGCAGAGTTGGGACTGATGGTGCTGGTGGCAGCGTTGTTTATTGTCATAGTGGTCGGCATCACTCTCACCTCATACTTCTACAACCTTCACTTACTTGAGGTCAGGAGCCTTTTCTTATCTATTAAACAACTTAATGACATACAGTATATAAATATTAAATGGTACTGTATTTAAATTTATATTGGTATAACCCCTATGTTAAACTTTCACAATGTCGCCTTCATTATGGTATATTACTTTAATCAATACATATTTAGTTTTCCATAATATTTTTTAATCTCTTGCTTCACAGCTTTCCATATTTAACCGCATCAAGTTCTATGAGACTCCAAGAATTCTAGAAATATATGATGCAACCTGGAGCCCTTTGACTACTGTACATCTGGGTAGTAACCTCCCAGATAACTCAATACCTGAGGACTGTACACATTATCTGCATTACCTCAAGAAGCACAATTTCACAATGCCACACACCCATGATAATGAAGACTATGAGTAAGTATACTGCAGTGACATTTAATAACTCAATTGGATGTGCTTGTGTCTACTATCATTCCAAGATACTGTATTACATGTACGGTGTACTGTATGTTTTTTAAATAATTTGAGTGAATGATATTGTATATGCTACTTCTACTTTTATTTGAGAAAAGTTTGAAAAGTATTAAACTCAATATTTTAGTTATGAAGATGGCCAAGAATACAGTACTGTATGTGTTTCTGAAAAATAGAGTAAATAATATTTTTTTTCTTAAAAAAATATATATACAGTATAGAAGTGGACTTTTGGATTTAAGACAGACAGTATGAATTTAATAAGCTTATGATCAAGTGAGCCAAGATGAGGCTGGCACAAATATTAGACATGTGAATTAATCTGTGAGCAGGTGTCTCCTCCATGGTATAGAAATGGTAAACAGTGAGTAGCTAACAAATAAGAAAGTACAATTTGTGAAAACTTTTTATATGCAGTACTTGAGTATGAAAATACAGTACAGTACTGTACAATATTTGTAAAAAAGAAGCTAAATACAGAAATCATTGAATCATTTGACTCTGCACCAGGGAATCTCTTCAGCCACTTAGTAATGTCTGTTAAAATGTATTTTTAATATTAGAATATGTACCCTAAACATCCCTATTGAGGATTTGATTATGATTTTTGGTTTATTTCAGTAAACACATAAGAGGTTTTGGGTATATGGGGAGCACAACCAAACTGAAATTTTTAGGTGGACAAAGTCATCAAAACATTCACAACAAAGTTAATTACGACATTGAAGATTTGTAAAGTTAATTACACTTCTGAAATTACAGTACGTACTGTACTGTACTGTACTGTACGGTATTTATTTTTCTCCTTAATTACAGTTACAGTATTAATGCTTCTCATGTATAAGTATGTAACAATTTTTATCCTCCTACAGGGACATGATATGTTTGGATTGGACTGGACTTGCACAAGTACAGCTTCGCAAACTGTTTGCACAAGGTGATGTTCAGTGTTACTCAGTGTGGTGGAAAGCTTCACATGAAGGCTTCACTCTGAGAGATTGCTTGAAAGCAGACATTGAACATGGAGCCTGGTGGGGTGGTGGGGAGATGAGTGACGGTGGATACCCCATCACAAATGCAAACATTGCACCCAAAGATATGGTGACAGGCAAATTGGGAAGAAATTCTTGGGGTCAACTTCTGCGTCGCACTTGGCTGTCTGAACGAGCTTCCCTTCTAACTCTACCAGAGTCTTTCAATGGCCAAGTTTCCATTAATTATGATAAAGATGGGCAAATCTGTCTCGAATCAGGACCTCACCCATCATTAGTGGTCCCGTTACCATCAATGAAATACAATCTTTGCACAGCCCCTAATCTGACATCCCTAATATACTTTATGCACCAGGAATCTATAAACAAAAGGAAAATTGTTGCAGAATATACCCCAAGTCTTGTTTCACTTGTTTATGATCAAAAAGAGAAACAAACGGTGATGAACACAGGGACTAAAGTGAGTGCACCTAGGATATTAAAAGAGGTGTTTCAAGGTCAAGTTGAAGAGCGTGTTCAAGAGAGGCTAGAACACCCTGTTTGGGTTCCATGGATGCCTCCTGACCGTCCACAACTCACACAAGATTCAGTAATTGAATATGTTGATAACATTCTTAATCAAACATTTGGATCCTGGGGGCATGTTTTACTTCCAGCTTCCTGGCAGGCTCAACCTGGTGACCTGTTATTTGATCAAGAAAGATTTCCAGACCCAGCAACTTTGTCACAGGTATTAAAGAAAAAGGGCTTCCACTTGGCTCTTACACTTCACCCCTTTGTCAGTGTTGAGGCTTCAGCTTTTAATAATGGTACAAAAGAACAGCTCTGGGTAAGGCAGAAAAACTCGACACTACCTGCATTGGCTCATTATGATGAAACACATCCTTCAGTGGTTACAGATTTCAGTAACCCAAGAGCAAAACAGTGGTTTGCTGACCGTTTGAAGTACTTGCAGAACAAATACAATATTGACCGGTTCCATTTACAGCCAGCGGATGCTCATGCTCTTCCAGTTTTCCATGAATATCACTTACCCCTCCCAGGACCTGACTCAGTATTAGTACATTTTATGGCTGCTGTAAGTACTGTATCACCTCCAGTGAGCACTGAAGGCACAATCACACCACCATTACCACCCACCTTCCTGACACTTGGTACAGCAGATGGATCCTGGAATGGCCTGGAGACACTTGTGCCACGTATATTAACCCTGTCCATGTTGGGGTATCCCCTGGTTGATATTGGACCCATTGGTGGTATTGCTAGATCTGGACACGTCCCTGAGAGAGAACTCTATATAAGATGGTTGGAAGCTGCAGCTTTTCTACCAGCTATGCAGGTTAGAATTGTAAATTTTATTATTTTTTTGTGTTTTTATGTATATTTAAAACTCAACATTTTTCACTGGCAATATTTGCATCATTAACTCTAAAATGTTCATAAATTCTTTTTCACCATCATGCACATGCTATTATTGTATAAATTAACCATCTCAACCACCTAAATCATTCACATCTCTTATACCATTTACAGGAGATATTTCTCTGCAGTTCTTTAAGGGATCACTTTTCAGAGTACTGTACTGTACCAGTACTCTAGTCGGAGTGGAAAGTTAAATTTCAAAAACTGATAAATAGGGTTTTCTGCAATTTTCTGGGATGAAGGCTATTGCTACCTCACGTGTATATAATTCAGGACAGTTTCATTAATGTGCTTCCTTATATCTCCACAGGTAAGTGTGCTGCCAGACATGTATGATGAAGAAGTAGTACAGCTGTCGTTTGAATATGCGGCTATGAGGAAAAATATGGTTCTACCTCGCCTGTACAAAAATATTACAGGTGCTTTAGAACGTGGGATCCCATTAATTGCCCCTCTTGCCCTCTACGCTCCTGATGATTCTGTCGCTGCCACAGTAGATGATCAGTGGATTGTAGGGGATGATCTGTTAGTAGCTCCTATCATCCGCAGGGGAGAGAGAACCAGAAATATTTATCTCCCTGAAGGGATCTGGAAAGATGAAATTGATGGACATTTACGACGCGGTGGACGATGGGTAAAAAATTATAAAGTTCCTTTAACAAAAATACCGCACTTTACCCATAAGGCTGTAGAAGATTATGTCTGATAGTCATCCTGCATGAACTACCTTACAAAATTTTACCAAAATACTCGTAACATTGCATTTGTGGTGATAGTCCAGTACAGTACCTCACTACTGTCATCTCATGTTATTTTCTTGGTATATTATGGAGGTGTAAAGTGAAACTGACCTTCATTATAATACTACAGTGTATAAGCACAAAGAGAACACTAAGGAATGTGTATATCTTTCAAAAGGACTTCAGGAATTTGGTGTCAAGTCAAACAGTCAACAATTCTTATGTACTGTACTGCACAGTATTTGTTTTACAGTACAGTAGTAGTACATAAAATGAACATTTGCTTGTGCCGAGAGGACCTTTACCATTATTAGGGTAAATAATTTATTTTATACATTCTGAAACCAGAAATGTGACCCTTCTCTTTGTGTGTAAATTTAATTATGTTACTGTATTGATAATTGACCTGCTGTAGTTCTCAAGTTGTAGTGAAGAACCAAAATGATATATAGCAACAGTATTAACATTTAACAAAACACCGCTCTACACTAGTGCTTAAGTCAGAGATTTTTATTTATTTGCTTATCTCAACATACATTTTTTAATACAGTATACAGTAGTGGTGATATAGTAGTGCAGCTGAGACAACACAGAGAATATATTGCTTCAAACCTTTATGTCCTTAACTGTTGGACACTAAACGGTACAAACTCTATAGCAGCTAAAACTATCAAAGCTTCTTGGGTCCCAGATTAATTGAAACTGTTGAGAACATTTTTAAATCTTATATGTTATTGGGTCACGTGTGTCTGCAAATGTAGAGGAGATTTCTTGTAATGGAGAACATTCTGGGTAAAGTAATGTCATGTGACGAAGGTGAAGATTACAGTGTCAGTAGGAATTGAAATATATCATGTCTTTTTTTTCCATGAATGAATGTTATTTGGGATTTGAAAATTTTATGAGTTCATGGATAATGACGTTCACAGTTAACAGATACTGTATACATGTATTTATACTGTATATACCATGGAGTTTTTACAACTTTAAAGAGATGTAATGAAACTGTAACAAGTGCAGGATAACACATGGTGATAAGGAGTCATAAACATTACAAGGTCCTCACTAAATACTTAGGTAGATGGCCCAGAGCGATTTTAAATTGGCTATAAATAAAGGTGACTATGGCTTATAAAGTCTGATAATAAGGAAAATGGACAAATTTCAAAATTTTTTATGTAAATATGTTTTAGATTCAAGATCGAGGTAATAATATTTCTGTTATCAGTTCTAAATTGGTCCAGACTTGTGTTAAGTGTGTCATGGTGGCATGTGGTCAGTAGTCGACTGAAAAAAAAAAACCTTACACTGACTGTGGCTCGAGTTGTAGTCTTCAAAACAAAACAACTTTACTAGCCTCAATAAACTCTTCAAACCAGAGTAAATTTACATAATACTGTAACTATAAAATAGTGTAAGTTATTATATCATAAAATATCTCTGCATTAGAGCAGTGCCCAGAAAGCTGCAAATAACCCTCTGGTACTCCTGGCCTTGATTGGAAATTTCACCCCCTAGCAGTCTTTTGATGTAGGTTGCATTAGTACAGTTACAGGAACGGTTGTTCCATTTTAATAAACATTGGATAGAGCGATGCAAACCCCAACTTAGAGACCCATCTGCCAGCCCACAAGGTTAGTGAGAGGAACTTGGGTGGTTAATACGGCCAGTTCACTGTTCCCGCATTTCTGTTTACGGGAGGGGTGCTCTCAGAGTGAGTTACGGCTGAGCAGGAGAGATTTTGCCAGCACAGAAGTGCTTAGAGATGCAATTCGTGTTAAAAGACCATGAGAGGGATAACTGTTACATACTACAGTATGTTATATTTACAATTTTATACAATGTGCACAAATATTAAGACAAATTATTAAATTTTGATATGGTTGTAATTAGATGAAATTTAAATTTTTACTTCTTGTACATGATGACATTAATTTTACATTCTTTTAATATTAGTCTTATTGTTGTTGAAATAAACTTGAAATTTACTGTACAGTATTCATGTTTTGTTACACATTCATTCACCGGTTACATCTTGCACCAGTGTTACCAGACACCAAAAATTACTGTACTGTACTGTACATCAAGGTCCATTCTGATTACTGTATTTTAAAGCAAATTGGAATTTACTTATGTGCAGCATAAATACAGGGTTTAATACTGTATATGCATTGCTTTACATATTTTTGTGATGATTGCTTCAATGCTTTTATTAGCAGCAACATTGTCCTCAACATGTGAGGACGTGTTGCCACAAATATTTTTAAAGCAATGAGAGACGTGACTGATCGCCCAAGCGGCTAACGAGCCGATCAGTGGCGAAGAGGATAAAAGTAAAAAAATTTAATATTTTTTGACACCCTGTATAAGTGAACAAATTAAATACAGGTATTAATAAGTATCAGAATGGGTAAAGGGGGTTAAATATTGAACAAGGGAACAATTAACATGTGTACAACATTCTACAGAGACTTAGAATTATTGGGATAAATGATAATCTACATAAGGAAAAGTCACTTATCACTACATGTACTAGAATTAGGGAGAAAAATGTGCTGCAGATGCCTGTTTAAACAGTTTTGTCATTGAATACTTTACGCTCTATGATTGAGACAAAAATACTCAAAGCATTTTCTAAAAAATCCCTTTTGTTCTGTAGTGCAGAAAACAAGAGGAAACGTACCACGTGAATGATAAGGAGAGCAACTTAAGTACAGTACTATACCTCTGTTTACTGTCCAGGACCTAAAGTTAAAAGATACTGTATAGTGAGGACTGAGGGGGAGGAAATAAGTATAGTACTGTATCTGGTGCATAGACTGTGACTTTACAATATATATGTTAAGTTGTAAAATGTATGGTTTTTACATATGGGTTAGTACTATTGTTGTCACAAATGTGTTTTTAGTTTAAGAAGGGGAATATCACAAAAAATGAGTTAGCTATTAATTCTCATATGGTACTCACTGTTATGTGTATTTCCATTATTCTTTTAATTCTGTTTATGATCACGACATTCATGAAGGAGCCATGTTACCAACCAGCCTCAGTGTATGGTTTAGAACCCATATAACACCTTGTGAGAATGTTTAAATTGCTGAAAACAATGTTCCCCAACAGCGTTAACCAGAATGATATTCCTATCTACAGAACTGTTAAACAACTGTCCTTCTGAGACAAGTTATATTCCAACACCACTAAAAGGGAATACTGTACTGTACAGTACATAATCCACTTAGCTGTCTCCAGAGAAACATAGAGTTGAATATGAACCAGTAGCTAGCATTAAGTTGGGGTTTGTCCAGCGAAATGGCAACAGCTGTCTCGGAGACACCCCCCGGCTAAATCTAGAAGGAATAGCAAAATATTTTTCACTTGGATTTTATTTCATATGGCAAGTTTTTGAGTAGATTTTGCTGGCTGCATAATTTGAGTCAATCACAAAGAATATTACTTGTACATTATAAGTCGGGATACCTGTATCGTGATCAATCATTCATATTGTGTTAAATAACAGTTGTTAAGTCATTGAGTCATACATGAAGATGTTCATAATGAAATTTGAATGGACTGTCCATATATTTTTAATGACAATAAAAACTTTCTGAGTAAAGTAATTTTAGATATGATTTATGCTGTCATTTCCTTATCAAAGGTTCTTGGAATGTTACCAAGTCATAAGGTGACTCTTCCTGTGAGTATTAAGAATAATCCCTCATAATTTTCATGAGTTATAAATGTAAACTTTATTAATCAGTTCAATTGTTTGGGGCAGTTATTTCAATACAGCAATAATTACAGTATTAGATGCACACTGTATTAAGATCAGAGTGTGGTAGAGTTTTACCTCAAGGCTCATGTGCCTGGAGTTGAGGAGGTTGATCTTGCTTTTCTGTTTTAAAGCAGAACCACAACAAAATTGACTTGAAGAGCTGTGTGCTAAGATGAAGATTGTTAACCTTCAGCCTCTAGTGTCTCCTGAGGAATACATTAAGGTTGGGAAAGGTGAACTAACTTCTAAATCATTATGAATTTTAGGTCCCTGGACAGACTTAATGACTGAGTTGTCCAAGACTGGCACCGGGGTAGAAAAGAAATCCTCTTACATGTCTCCTTTTTTTGTCTGTTTTATAGCCAGTTATTGTATGTGTTTCTCTTGTTTTTGTTTTGTCCTTGTCTAATATTTAATTAACGTAATAACTATGGCTAAATTATTAGAACTCCCGTGCAGTTACCGTATATTTAACACCCATTAATATTTACTGTATATATTTATATCATATTTACTACATCATACTTTTTGGTTGGATCATTTTTATTCCCTGAATGTTTCACTTTATATTTAGTTTGTTGACCTGATGACAGTGTATTTTAAGTTAAGGTTTTATGATTTATATAGTTAAACAGAGCTTAATGTATTACATTAAAACTTACATAACTGGAGACAGAACTCTGAACTTGGTCACACTGCTACATTCCATTTGTTTTATATTGTAAGATAATAATAATTTTCATTTAAATCTTCACAAATGTGCTTGATAAAGATGTTAGTACACTATCATATATACCGAGGTATTATGAGAGAAGGATTGCATATTATATACCTTTAATGCTTATTATTTTCTCAGATTACAAAGGTGGCAACACAAAGATTCAAATCCACTAGCTTTATGTCACTATTGTACAGGATAGCATCATGTTGGCTTGTACCATTTAGTTAATCAGGGGTCTGGGATGACCAAAGGACAAGCACTGCTCAGGTTGAAGTGAAGAATATATTGCCAGTTCCACCCTGTGCCTTTCACTTAATATGTTCCATGTTACTACTGGTTACATAATTTTGTTCTTTTTGTTATACAGAATTCCTAATATTTGGTGTCCTTTTTTTAAACTTGGTGCGATACATGTAATGTGTACTTGTAAAGATGTGTATACTTTTGTGGTTATGATGTAACTTTAACACTGACTGTAAATATCTTAGATGAATAAATGTATAATTGTATCATAATTTTTAGTTACTTCATGCGTTGTCTCAGCTCACACAGAGGCATTAAGTGTGAGGAGGTACTGCAGTTTATTAAAGACAGGTACAGTAACTCACAAAAAACTTGATGAATAAATCTTAAAACCCATGTAGAAAATCTGATGTGAAATTAAGATAATTGGTTCAAGGAACAGTGCCCCTTTTTAATCTGATACTACTACTATACAAAACGTTCCCCTTGGGAAAAAATGTAGGAAGAAAAGAGACACTACTTTATTTTTCCTTTTTTTTCCTTTTATCCTCTTCACCACTGATCAGCTTGTTAGCCGATTGGGCAAACATTTGTATGGAGGAGTGTCTAGCTTCTGGCACATTATTTGTGAAACAAACAAACATCAATGGGCCCAGTACACTGCCCTGTGGTACCCCAGTTGTCAAGAGTACACATGATGATTTAGTGTTATTAATCACCACACAAACTACTTGCGACCATGACGAAAGTTTTCGATCCAAGCTAGGACACTTCCCAGAATCCCATACCCTTCTAATTTAATTCTCAGCCTATCATGGAGTACATCTGCTAGCTGCAAGTATGGACACTCGACTGAGTAATGCCCTCTGAGATGTTTATAAACTTCAATTAGGTCACCCCTTGCCCACCTATGGTATAAGCTAGGCAGTTGCAAGTGCTCTAATCTCTCAGGGTAACTGAGGTGCTGTAGTGCAGGCACCAGTCTGGTGGCCATCCTTTGGACATTTTCAATCAATTGACAGACTAAGTAGAGTATAATATGAAAGTAATTAAAAGTTCCGTGATTTTGTTACACAAAGTTTCGTTCATTAAGGAGACGTTCATTTGGTGTAAAAATATGGTAGAAATTGGATTGGATAGTTATGACCATTTGCTTGCACTCGCATTCCACTATTTCTGTGAAACACCCAGTGGAGTGGTGAGGGATGTCTGATATAAGTGTCTCTATTAGGAAATGACACAATGTTGTTGTTATTTACTTTTACTCTCTTCACCGCTGATTGGCTCGTTAGCTGCTTGGACGGTCAGTCACGTCTCTGTTACGCACTGTTGGCAAGTACTGGGCATGCACTAGCTCCTGAATGTACCTGAACCTGCTCCAGTCTTGGTCAAGTCTGGTCTTGAAAGAGCTCACACTCGGTGCCGTCACAACACTCTCTGACAGATTGTTCCAAGATGTTTGAGTTAGTTAGATATCCTAAATAACCTTAATAGATTATATAATATGACCTGAAGGTCGGGTTGTGATGGTGGTAAACCACACCAATACCAGCCTTATGCTCAAGACAATTAGCAACCATATTCGCCTGTTCTTACCCAAGTTGGGATAGGATCTTATTCTTCTGGGCTAAGCCCTCACACCACAGTGGCTTGCTGGCTGAATATAACTCAATAATGTTCTATGTTAACCCTTTTATAATGTATTTACTGTCATTTCTACTCTGAAACTTATTCCTCATTAATATCTAATTTTACTTGTGGACTGACGTGAAAGTGGCTTCATTCATTCCCATAAATGGTGTTAATTTTTAATTCATTAAACCTTACAAAAGAAATAATGAAACATTTTAAGTAGTTTACCCCCACAACAAAGTCGTTTTCAACCCTCCTCCCCCCCCCTAAAAAAAAAGAACCTTGATTATGTGAAATACTTAATTATCAACACGTTCAGTACTGCCCAGTAAGACCCTGCCATAATTATGGTCCTCAGCATTATGGTTGGAGTCCATTAAAATTGGGATCCATTGGAATAACTACCCACTGGGATTAGAATCCGTTATTACGAAGCTCCAATCCCAATGGTTAGCTTAGGTTGTTACCAAATACTGCAAATAGGGCTGCTGATAGAGAGGACATGACGCCTCCAAAACAAGAACCCTGTAAAGTAGGATGGTGAGGGTCATTATATCTCAGTGTAGCAAGAACTTTCCAGGAGATACAAATGCCTCTAAAACAGGTGAGTGTGATCACTGTACCTATCACTTGAATGGAAGAAGTGAGGCTCTGGTGGAGGGGGAGGGGGACTTCAATACCCACACAGACGGCGTGAGGGGAGGGGGAGACTTTCATATAGACAGCAACGGGACCACAAAGACGGTATAAGGATAAGGAGAGGGTCCAACGTCCGTATAAACGAGTGGGGGCATCACGTTGACTCATTGATAAGGGAGAGACACCGACGCCCTAAAAGATGGAGGGGAAAAGCATAAATTCCATTTAAAACTGTAGTGGGATGCGAAGGACTCCAGACTTAACTGATCACTAAAACGATAATCAATAAATATGATAACTTGGACGTACCTGAGATATGGTGTGTTAATGTCCCTCTAAGAGCTGTTTTAGCTCACACTTACCTGGAAAAAAAGAAAAAAAAATCCAATTAAGATTACCTGCCGTCTATCCCTCGACACAATTATTTGATTATTCCCACAACTTACAGGAACAACTAAGACACAACCAATAATCTTAAGCATCAGTTTATGCCAAATGGAGGACTAAGAGAACTTGTTCACTACGTCAAGAACACAACAGTAGTACATTATTAAAGGTAGTTTACCTTGTGCTGGTGGTCGCGGAATCCCTGGCGTCATACAGGGTCACCTCCTGGCATCGTCTTCACACTTTCATGACACCTTATGGCACTTGACGACACCAAGCTATACTCCATGACACTTTGTGAGTCACTTTGCAACACTTTACGACATTAATGGCACTTTACGATACTTTATGACACTATTGTATGTAGCCTTGGGCACTTTTATAACTTTTCGAGACTTTATGACACTTTAGGACACTTTATGACACTTTAGAACACTTCACGAAACTTTACGGCACTTTGATACCTTATGGCACATGACACTTATAGCACTTTTCCATTGTGCACCACATCTTACGACATTATACGACACTTATTCGACTTCATGGCACTTTATCAGACCTACCGGCAACTGGCACTTAAAATCACTTTATAAAAAATTGGATATTTATATAAATCACTGAGACAAAGCGTGACACTTTATGGCACTCTAACACCTTGTATGCCACTTTACGACACTTTATACCACTCTTATGACACGTATGGGTGTTTTTGGTGCCCACAATTAATTTGTAACACTTATAAAGTCTCCTTGACACAAACACTTCACATCACTTACAATACTTCATAAGACACACTTTACAATACTTATAAACACTTTACGTTACTTACGAACACGTTATGATACATATGATCACTTCACAATACTTATGAAAATTTACGGCACTTAAAATTACTTTATGAAACTTAAGACCACCTTTAGACACTTATAACTACTTTATGACACTTATGAACACTTTGTGACACTTAAAAACACTTTACTACACTGACAAACACTTGATACTTTTTAGCCCTCGTCAATTTCTATCTCTTCACCTCACCGTCTGTTTGTTTGTCAGTAAGCCTTTGTTTACGTCTTTACCGGCACTAGGCCAGAGACAGGACTGTGTGAGCGAATCATGTGAGTGTGTGTGTGTATGTCTGGTCTTGTTAAAGGCCTCTGTTAACATTCTCGTAAATCCGAAACCGCGAAATGAGGCAGATTCAAGACAAGCGAACCGGCCAAACCTCGTCCCAGTGCTATAACGGATTGAGAATAGTAGTGTTTTACTCATTTGTTTTTCCACACATGTAGCTTTTGAGAACTTTGTTTTTATCTCTTCTAACTATAAAGTAAAAAACAATGTATTACACAATATTATATTAATGTATTTGAGTTTGTATAATGGTTCGTTTTTCGATGATTGAGTCGGGTGTATCGAAAAGCTGTTCCTGAACCCTCGAAACACTTACGTCATCGATGTCTCAAAGTGATGTCAGTCAACTAGTATTCAGAATTGTTTATATTGTTTATCCCTCTATGTGCTTAATAAAAAAAAACATGCTTAATAAAAAAAAAACAATCAAACAAACAAATGGGAAACAAACAGAAATAAAGTAAAAATATGTATTAAACATAACAAATAACGATAGATTACATTTTAAATTATTTTTTTTATTCAGAAAGTCGACGCTTTCGAAGACGTGTGCTGTCTTAGGCCGAACAGCCCAGACGACCCAGACCACGGCTAAACCAAAGCTACCAGCGACTCCACACATCTGCGGTATATTGCCAAACCCTGGTTACGCTACTCCCTTGTCGATAACCACTAAATCTAGACCACAAGATGAAAAGAACACTTAAAAAAAAATCAGTCCATGAAGAGTGAAATCCAATGCAGATCAACAAAAACTGTTTTATCAAGAGCCAACTCGTTAACCTTCACTGACTGTAGAAACAACCCAAAGACGTCAAGGGGACGGGCTAAAGGCTGGACTAGAGGTGAAACTAACTTGATGTAGACGTAAATAAAGAGAACAAATGATGATAAATATAGATACGGTGACGTGTGATAACTTTACCGCGCTGTTGATATGTAACACGGCAGAATACATATTATACTACACTCACGCTGATAACAAAGTGGACGATCCTAGCTGGTGCTGACGGAAGGCAGACCAGCTGATCCTTGACCTTGATAAATCCTCCACTACACATTATTACACATCATAGTCTCCAGATACACGTATATGAAAGTTTTTAATTCCTTTAGTGGTATATAATTATGATCTATTATTAAGAGACTTTCACACTTATGAAATATTTTAATTGCATTGCTCTAATGTTTAATGTATTATGTACAGAACATGACGATATACACGAGAGATGAACAGGTGACAAGAAGTATTTAAGATAGTCGATTTCGTCTTTTCTGGTAACAGTGAGTGAGAGACCCCCACCTGATGACTTCTCTCTCTCTATGTATGTTTGTGTTCCTGTTATTCCTACACTCACAAATAATAATAATAACATTCATATCTTCATTCAATCGAGGACTACCCACTCGTGACACACAACTGTGATGAACTGTGGTTGGGTGAATTGACTCAGTTGGATAATAATGTTAATAA